CACTGTGTTTGTTTGCGTGTGTGTGTGTGTGTGCGAGGGTGTGTGTCCCAAGACTTGACGAAATATGTTTGGAAGCCAGCCTTAAGTTGGCTGCATTCCTTATCCACATTTGATGAATTTTTGACTTAAGCTGCAGCTTATGAAAATTGATTTCAATTTACAATGGAGCTAGTTATAAAAGTAAAACTCTCCCAATTGGTAGCTTAAGTCATCCAATCACATTTGATCAGGTTGGCTGAGAAAATCATTTCCTTTCAGTTTCCCCCCAGTCAAATGGAATTGCAATCTTATCTCAGTTTAGTCCAAACTAGACTTTCTTTCCTTCTCTTTTCTTTGAACCAAGTAACATTTTGATTACTTTATTAGGCTTCCCTTCCGACAATGTCTGGCTTAGAGCCTAGTTAAATCGCTTATCTAATCTGAGCCCTCAGCTCTGGGTCGCCCGATGCATAGTGCTGTTGTTTCTATTGCCTCGTCATGTGGCAGCGATCAAGTGGCTTGATCTTTTGCTTCATTAGGTTCGTTTATCAATGTTATGCATATGTTGAAAATGCTTACACGCTTCGATCGGATTGAACGATCTGTAGATGGGCTGTGCGACAACCATAAATAACCAAATTTCGTTAGCCCTTCATTGATTTGAATTGGAATGGGAATTGGAATCGGAATTTGAATTTGAATTGGCAATAAAACGCTGAGTTTATCAGTTGTCGAAGTGGTGCCGCCATGGAGACGATTTCTTTTTCCAGTCTATCCGCTGGCTGGGTCCAACTTGTTATACAACTCTATTAGTTTTTCATGCCCAGCCACAGCTGCATACAAATCAACTAATTTGCTTTGGAAATGCCACGCGAGTCGGTGCAGCAGCAGCCGCAGCAGCCGCAACTACTTGAGGCAGTTCCTTGATTCGTTTCAAGACCTTTCTCTCTCGCTCTCTCTTGCAGCATTCCCCTCTCTCGCTGTCTTGCTAATAACTAATGTAAATCTATTTTTCTGGTCGAGTTTGGCTGTTTTATCGCTTTGGCATTTGAATAGATTTTTCAATTTTCAGCTGCATTCGTATCCGAAAGCTTAAATCCACTTGTCATTGTCTGTGGATTTGACTGTTTATCATGTCTCGCTCTCTCTCTCCCATTCGCTCTCTCTCTCTCTCTTACTATCATCAGCCCCAATGTCATGGCATGCTATTATATTTTTGCTAGTTAACTCAATTACTTTGACGCTAAAGCTCTGCCATTACACAGTAGAGTGGTCCAGACCTTTTACTCGAGCTTTTGGTCTAGTCATCAGGCATGACAGGCCGAGAGTCTCTATTTCCCAGTTGCTTCATTATTAGTGCAAATTATGGCTGCCCAGCTCCCATAACCTACAGCAACAGCAACAGCAGCAGTAACAACAACAACAACAACAACTGTCTGTCCTTTTTGCTGGCCTGTGTTGTTTTATTCCCTGGGAATTCCAGTAGATGACTTGCCCGCAGACCAGAAACTCAAGTCCTGTGAAAAAATACACAACTCAACCGAATAACGAAAGCCGAAAGAAGCAAAGGCGAAATTCCAGGCACGTTTCACTGCTGAAACATGAACATCCTTCGACGATGCTTTAAAATGCCAGACAAACTGACAGCAAGCGAAATCAAATTTGATTGTGGGCGTCAGGCTATCTATTCTCCTCCCTCCTCCCTTCTCCCTCCTCACTCTACCCACTCTGCGCTCCGGAATCCTGTGCCTACGCATCCTTAGCTGGAATTTCTTGTTGATGGTCGCAAATTTGGCGCTTCATTATGTAATATTATCCGATGGCTCTCGTTTACGCTAGGCACTCGTGGGAAAATGGCTAAATACCAAAATTAATTCAGTCTGCTGCGGCTAACCAATATTTTGATTTGCCAAAAAACTGAGCTAAAAACAGTCAAATATAAACATTAACAGACCATTTCAGGTCGTCAACTCTTATCGTATGCATATTTTGTTTGTTTATTTTTAACACGCCTGAACTCGATGATTTGTTCAGGGCTTTGTTCACAAACTTTTGTTGTTGCTTAACTTTCACAAGATTTTGACTTCGGTTTAGAAAAGAAAACTTTCAACTTTTCGAGATGTCTATTGAGTAGACATCAATACAATTGTGTATATGTATGTGTATATATATTGTCTATAGAATTCGATTTGCTGTTGTCTCTTTAATTGGCTCTCAGGCTGTTTCAATCGTTTGGCCTTGTAGGCATTTTTCCGCTAATTTTATTGTTGAGCTCGGCCCTTCAATGCAAATAGAAGCAGTTATGATTATTTTTGTTCCATTTCGCAATTCGCCGTTTGCAGTTCGCAGTTCGCAGTTAATTCTCTGTATTGAATGAAAAGCCAACTCGCATTGTAAACATTTGGCAATCGCCCCCGCCCGAATGTTTATGTAGTTATTTTCTGGCATGTTGGCATAGTTATAAGGGGGCCGAATGTTCGCGTGTGTGGGTGTGTGGGTGTGAGTGTGTGTGCTGCGTCGCTTGGCTTCATATCGTATTAAATTTCAATATGTATGGCCCCATTTATATTTACGCACAGGGCAAATAAAAATATGTGGAATATGTGTATAAGCGAAAATAATGTTCAAACATTTGCACTAATTAAAAAGCTGTATGTGAGAGTGTGTGTGTGTGTGTGTGTGTATGTTTAAATACGAATACAAATATAATATTCAGCGCGTACGCAGCGAGGCGGGGCAATCGTAGGACATGTGTAATTGCTTTTCTGCCAACAACAATGAAACGCATATTTGTTGTGCACGTGCGTGTGTGTGTGTGTGTGTGTTTGTATTATTGTTGTGTATTGTCATATGTACTGTTACATTGTATTATTATTTCTCTTTTTCTGTGTTGTTTGGTGGAGGTGGGCGTTGTGCCGGCTCCATTCAATTGGCAAACATTGGCTGGCAGCCGGTTTAGCCCGCCTGAGGCACGAAGCCGCCAAAACGATTGAAACTGAAGACGTTTTGGACATTGGACGACGCCCACGCACTTGACAGCAACCAGGCAACCAGGCAACCAGGCAACTGGCAGCTGGGGCAACCGGGGCAACTGGCAGCTGACAGCTGTCGCAACATTGCCCAAGTCAAAGCCACTCGACAGCGACTGCCATCAAAGACAAATCAAACAAACGACTGCCGAGTGGAGAGATTCACGTGACTTTACAATTTATCTGAGGCATGCAGCGAAATGAATTTATTAATAGCCGAGCTGCATGAGCCAGCCAGCAGAAGAAGAAGAAGAAGAAGAGTAACTGCCACCCACACGGCCGACTGGGAGTAAACAGCAGCCAGGTACTTCAAGCTGTCACTGTGTGCGTGTGTGTGGCTGTGTGTGACTGTGTGTGTGACTGTGTGTTCATTCATTCAAAAAGATTCGCATTTCGTATTCGCTTGCGTGCGGCGAAATTCTCTTTCTTTCTCGGCGTCAATTTATGCGCATCACGTTTTCTCATTTTCGAGAATGACTAAATATCGCTTACTCCACTCCACTCCACTCCACTCCAGTCCACTCGATTCCGCCACCGGCTGCACCACCTCGGCCCACATTTGGCCTTTTGTGTGGTGCACGGAGTTCGGATGCAGTTGCAGCCGTTGGCACAAATATTATTTAACCATTTGCCACGTGAAAACTTTTCCAGTTTCTCTCTCTCTCTCTCTCTCTCTCTATATATATATATATATATATATGTAACTACATCTATTGCTATAGTTACACAGTTATCTCAACTATATAGGAGTATGAGTGTGTGTGCGACGAGGCGTGGCAAGTGCAGCAGTAACTTTTTTTTTGGTTTTCGGTATTTTCTGTTGGTAGCAGAGACCTCACCTGGAGCTGCATTTTTCATTTGGCGTTGAAGTTCGGCGACTGTTCAGACTGCTAATGCCAGAAACGTGCCGAATGCTTCAGCGACTGGCTCTCACCCAGACAGAGGCGTCGCTGCCGAAAGGGGCGCATCACGGGCATCATTGAAGCCAGTGCTGAAACTTTACTTGATAAAGCTGCCAATGATGAGACCAAATTTGTCTTTAAATTGGGCTTTAAAATCAGGAAAATCTCTAAATATTAAAGCCAACTTTAAAGGAGATATTTTTCCCACAAATTGAAAGTATCCCACGATGTTGTTGCATCACACTTACACCTGCTGATTAGCGTAGTTAGCAATGGCTTCTGAAATACCTGCTACTAGAGCTTGCCCCTCCGGCTAAGCCACTGGCAGGGAATGTAAGTGCAGCACTTGTCGCTTGCAAATTAGTGTTAATTTATCATGATTATTGTTTCACAACGATTCGCAAATTGAGTTCGCTTAGTCAAGTGATGGCAACAGCAGCGTCAGAGTCCTGTACCTCCGCTTCCCTTCAGTTCCCCCCTCCCAATCAGTCTTTTTGTGTTTTTTAATAAAGCAAATTCGAGCAGACCATTCAGTAGAAGAATAGCAGCAACTGTAACTAATGCTGTCTTCCAGACTGATATCAAACTGTCAAGCTGTCAATTCTCGTTAGCAGCGATTGCCATATGGATGATGTGGGGAGCTGTGTAGCGCAGTCAGCGCCGTAAGAGCTGTATCGAGTGCTGTTCAAAAATTCAATTTCCAGCTGAAAAGATACAACGATAGCAGCATGAGTTGTGGGATGGGGAATTGGGGGCTCTCAGCTGCTGTAGAGCTGCACGTGTATCTGAGCGTATCTTCCGGAGTGGGCATGGTCGGAGCTGTGGCAAACAAATTGGAAATAGGTAGAAAACAGTCATTGAAAAACGATTGCTGACGTGGCTCTGGCAGGTGATGCATGACGCCAGCGTCGGCTCTAGCCAAGGCTGGGCAGGATTAGCGCACGAGCAATGGCTGAGCTTAGGCTGAGCCGAAACATATGAGAAATGTGAAAGCCTTCATATTGACAGCACAATTAAGACTTTAATTGGCTCGACTAACATGGACTTATCTCTCTCTCCCCCTCTCTCCCTCTCTCTCTCTCTCTTGCAGGAGCTGCAGTGAAGCTGACGCAAATCCGTTCAAAATGCGCAATAGACAACTGCAGTAGACAGAGGCGATAACTGGCAACAGCGCAGTCAAAGGATTGGCAAGAGCAAGCATCAGGAGTCGGCTAACTACCCCCACGACAGTGCCCCACCCACCCGGACACAGTATGCCATCAATTGCCAACATCAGTGTCAGCTCGACATCGCCAACAATGGTCAGCTTCCTGCCTGGCAACGATGCCCGCCTTAGTTACATTGTAAATCAAGTTGCGTCCGCATCCGCATCCGCCGCATCCGTCGCATCCGTCGCATCGCCCGCCCTGCCCACGTTCAGCCCGCCGCGCATTGAGAGCTTGGTGGCCAGCTCGGCGGAGGATTTGGGCGGCTTTGGGGATGTGACGTTCGACATCTTCGATGACGATGACGATTTGTTTGGCTCGCCGATGGCCTTCGATGCCAGCGAGCAGGGCCTGTGGAACGGACGCTTTGTGCCGCCGCCCCCGCGGCCGCCCTTCTTCGTCGACGAGCCCGTGCTGAGCGATGGCCTAACCACATGTGATTTATGCTCCTGGGCCATGCCCACCAAGAGCACGTTCATGTTCGAGGGCACGATAGGTGAGTCAACTCTGCCTCTCCCTCTCCCACTCTCACCCCATCCCTGCCTCTTTCTCGCTCTGTCAATTGGCAACAATATTTTCTAACCGGATATCCTTGCTTGTTCCGCTCTTGCAGAGAAGGCCACCGAGCTGGGCTGGCCACTGACGCTGATCATAGTGTCGGTTCTATCGGCGCTATTGGGCGCCATCATCATGATTGCCGTGGTGCGTTGCCGGCGCAAAAAGTCGTCCAATAATCGCAATGGTGAGTATTGAGCCAGCCGGCAGTAGCTGGCGGCGGCAGCTGTTGCTCCAACTGTTGCCACAGTCTTGTGCATCTGTGCCCCCATCTCTCTTGTTGCAGACACGCACGTGCAGTGGTGGTCGCGCAACAAGCGCGCCCACAGCAATGGCGCTGGCACGGGCAGCAGTGCCGGTGCCCCAATAGCCGGCAGCAGCGCCCACAACAACAACAATCATCTGAGACGCAGCAATATTTATACAGCACACCCGGCGGACAGCATACGCGGGCTGCATCCGCTGCCACTGCCGATGTCGATGCCCATGCCGCTGCCGCTGCCCATGCCGCCCACGCTGGCGGCCACAGCTGCACCGATGCTGGCCGTGTCGCCATCGGTGGCAGGCAGCGCGCCGCCAAGCCAACAGCAGCAGCAGCAGCAGCAGCCACACTATTTCCATCCATATCACCATCATCATCATCATCATCATCAGCAACAGCAGCAGCAGCAGCAGCAGGCGCCCCTGCCGCCGCATTACCCGCATGACTGCGAGGAGGACGCCGCATACGAGGAGCCCGGGTACCATCAGCCACAACAGTTGCACACTAGCTCCAATTCCATGTCGTCGGTCGCGTCATCGCCAGCGTCCACCGAAGCCGAAGTTGAAGCCGTCAGCCACTGGCCACAGGCCGGCACCATGGTGGTCGCCAGCTGAGAGCTGGCCGAGAGCTGCGCCTGGGCGCGTCAGCGTCGGCGCAGCCTCAGCAGCGACTGGATCTGGCAGTGACATGTTGCACGGCAACATGCTGCAGCAACACGGCCACTGGCATCGGCACTGGCAACACGGGCTGCTTAAAATGCGGCACACAAATTCTGGTGCAGATCATAAAAAGGATTACACGTAACATTTTGTGAAGTTTATTTTGTTTTCTTGCTTGAAGCCGGCAAACCAGTCCATAAGCAGCTAAGGATTCACTTCAGTGTCTGACTGACAGCCACTGTGTGTGTGTGTGTGTGTGAGTGTCTATGTCTCCAATTGGGAAAACCGAAACGAATTTAGTGTCACTTCCACTTCCGTTGTGCAAACTATCGGAGCAGCCAGCAAAACCAAAAAACCCGACACCCAGACAGAGGAGGTGGAGCTGGTATCCTACAGGAGAGAGAGGCAGACAGAGTGAGTGTGAGAGTGGGAGTGAGGGAGAGGGATGGCTTACTCTGGCTCTGGCTCTGGCTGATGGCGGGTTATGTGGCAGCATGCTCTTTACATGCCTTGCACGTTTTATCCTTTATTGCCGTTCGGCATTAGTACAGGGATTTTGTCAGATTAAAGCAAATAAAGGGCGTGCTTTTTGTTTTCAGCTTTTTGCAACTGGCAACTGCTGTGTCGATGATGCCACAAGTTTAAATCGTTGTTACAGTAAGTGTGTGTGTGTGTGTGTGTGTGTGTGCATTTCAAATACCATATGTGAGCGAGTCTGAGTATGAGTGAGAGACAGACTTTATCGAGACTATGCGGACTTTGTAGAAGAGCTAGCTAGAGTACTCTATATATACGGCTGGACAACGTTAATCTAACTATATATCATTTAGCTATATATGAAAGAGGATTACAAACATTTTGTTTTCACTGTGATGCTGTCCTGTTTAGGCACAGGGTATTTATGAGTCGTTCAATGCAATTGAAATGATACTAAAACTACTGTTTCACCCATCCCCCCCCATCTGCATAGATATTTTCGTTTAAAGCTTTTGTCAATGCATGTGTGTGTGTGTGTGTGTGTGTTAACTGGTATCTCTGCTGGTATGGCACTGTGTTTGCTGGCTTGTTCTCGGCTGCAAATGGCACAAAACTTTGTGGCTTTTCACTTCATTCCTCTTGTTTTGTGATTACAAAAGCAAATAGTTTATATATATAGATAGATGTATGTGTGTATTGCCATAGCAAAAGACCGAAGAACGACAGAGTGAGAGAGAGATAGAGAGAGTGGTGTATAAAACCTAAGCTCAAAAACGAAAGCTTTGCAAATATTGGCAGCATTTTGTGTGGGCCATCCTTACTTTTGGGCATTTAATGTCTTTATGAAAGCCAAATGTCTAAATGCGCCCAGCAAGTTTCTGTCAACCTATTATAATCTCTTAAAGTATTTGTAATAATCCCAGGAACATTTAACATTTGCAGTTGCATTCAATAAAGCCTAATACAAAATTCATGTCATGCATATCAAATAAGCTTAAACTACAACAACTACAACAACAAGAACAAAAGTACTTAAAACAATAAACAATGTAAATATACTGTAAATATATAAATATATACATATACATATATACTACATATATGTACTTATTTTGCAATTCTGCAATTTTTGCTCTAATTAGCAATTAATTCAATGCGAAAAGTTTCTTCAACTTGAGAATAAATAATTTATGTAGAGCATTGTATTAATGCGAAAGGCAAACGGAACATTCCTCTTTAAAGTTCAAGTTATTGTTTTGTTTATAAAATATCAACAACAACAAAAACAACAACAACCAAAGACTAGTCATTTAAGTCAAATTGTTGCTATGTACAAACTATTTAGAATTATATAAAAAACAGCCTAAAACTATGAAAAAAAAAAAAAAAATGATTATAAATTACTCGTAATAATTCGATTTAATCTTTTGCTTAATTTAAATGCAATTTCGCATTAGTTTTAGAAACAAAATGAATACAAAAACAAAAAACACATCTGCAATATTGTATTTTAAATATTTATTCATTAAATGCACTTTTCACTGCATAACAATAAAAATCATAATAATAATTATAATAATTATAATGTTAACTAGCATCCATAATGGGATGACACAGACAGACAGACAGGCAGACAGACATCCAGTTTCATAAATAGCAAGCGAGCCAATTCAACTACTAAATGCAACTCGAAATGTTCCAATTTAGCATACATATAGCCTAACTAATTATCTGGACAAATGGACAAATTGTATACACAAAATCCAAAACAAAAACGATTCATTTCAATAAATTGTGCAGAAATTATTCAGCAAATTAAAAACAGAAAAAAAAGAAAGAATATCACAAAAAAAAAATCATAAAACAAATAAAATAAAATTTCAAATAAAATAAATGAAATAAAAACAAATATTTAATTGCCTTTTACTATTTATTTAAAACACAAAAACAATTCAGCAAATTGAGCCCATGAATAAGTCATTGATTAATTAATTTCCTAAAGGCCTGGCTTTTGTTCTGCATTTGATGGGTAACCCCAGTTTATCGGCCCGAACCCGGACCTGCCGTAAACCTCAGGCGAACGCCTCGCAAGACATTAAAATGAAAAACGATTTAATTTCATTTTCAAGATCTTTTCGCTGCTCAGCCAAAAAGTGAAAGTTTCGCATCGTACATTGTTATAATTTTTCTCAGTTGAAGTTGAAGGAGTAAATATTTAGGTTGCCCGGTCAAGTTGGAATATTTATGCCATTTATGACACGAAAGGCCCTCGAAACGTGTGCCATGGACGTGCAGTCCCCTTCCCCGCGCCTTGCCACAATTTTTGCATATTTGCTGCACGAAGCGAACGAAATGAAATGCACAAAAAAAAAAGGAGGAAAAAAATCAGTTGGCAAGATAAAGCTGAGCCGAAATATAAAGCGCAGTCAGATTGGACAAATGCACTCCCCCGCACAGCCTCCCCCCCAAATGCCATGCCATGTCTGTGTCTCCGAAGCCACGACGTCGTAAAGCCAATCGAAAGCGAGAGATCTCTGGAACGATATGAACATATGGACATATGGATCGTCGTCTTACGACTCCTTCTTGTTAGCTGACGTCGTCGACGTCGTCGTCGCTCTGTCTGTGGGTGGCAGCGGGCGGAGGTCCATTTGCATATTGGAACGATCGAGCCGAATGGACCTGGACCAGACAATTGTATGTACGACAGCGCCCCAATACAACACAAGACAAACCAAAAGTGAGATCTGCTTTTCGTGGGGCTTTCCTTGGCGTGGAGGTAGCGAAAATGTCATGCGGTTTTATGACTTCATTAGCGAGAACCGGCCAGGAATTTAATGGACGCTCCATGGGCTGCCAACCACGTCTGTTCGTTGCCTTTTTCGTTGTTGTTGCCAAACAAATTTGAGGCACATTTTCGTGCATTGCCAGCGCGCCTGATGAGCACTGCCCCGAAAACCGAAAGCTCGCACAGTAACCAATCTGAAGTTTTGGCCAGCAATCGAACCTAGTTAAAGTCTAGACACCATGTCACGAGCCAGGAATTGGGTGCCAGCAATGAGAGTGCTCCCAGCTGACGTTGATGATGCATTCGCTGCATTGCCTCATAATGAAGTCGTGCATGCCATTTGGGCTACATACGCTACGCTGGCTAAGGAGTTCACTCGACTAAAGAGTTGACACCTTTTTGGCTTTACTGATGCCAGGAAAAGAGAGTGTTTACATTAGATATAGAAAGTTGTTGAAGATTTTGATTGGAGGAATGAGGAGGGAACTACTAACGGAGGTCTTCCTTCAAGTCTTCTAAGAACCTTAGTCAATATATATATTTCAAAATATATATTTCAATTTGAATACATTTCAAGCTGCAATTGGTTAGACAATGGACTCAATCCATCCACAGCACCGTATAGATCACTCTGAACAAGCGCTGGAATCATGTTATTGTCTATATGCACATTGTAAGCCAATTAAAATGGGATCTGTTTGGCTTAGAGTTGAAAGAGTTCAGCTCAATTGATTTGATTTATTGCTCCATCAAAGTCGAAGCCATTGAGCTGTTGCAATATGTATATTCGGGAAAGCTAGATGCAATAGACTGACAGGCCTACAGGCTTTCAATAACTTTCCATTGCTTTCGGCAAGCCCACACTCAGAGATACAATGTCGGATAAGAAGTACAGAGAGCAGCAACGTCTCTCAGCTGACATCTTTGACTTCTGACTGCTAGCTGACGATAATGTCGTCGTCGTCGTGTTGTTGTTGTTGTTGTTGTTGCTGGGATTGGGGCTGGGGCTGGGGCTGGGGCTGGGGCTGGAGCTGATGCCGATGCCGACAGGCAAATCATCAGGCTATCGACAGTGCACTTTGTATGGCCCCCACAATGCCCTCCTCAGCTACTCCTTACATGCATCATCATTATTATCATCATTGTCAGCTGCATGCAAGCGAAAAGTCCAACTACTGCGCATGAATGAATCACTAAGCCATGGAATCGGGCTAGGCACGGGCACGGGCACGTCGTCTAACGAGATCGGCTGCACAGATGCTTAGACTAGGCTGGCAGCAAGCGCGGCAGGAGATGGAGGAAGAGGAGGATGCATCATGCAATCGTCTAGCGAAAGTCGCGACAAAACTCTCATTCAGATCCACAGCCAGGCAGCCGCAACTGCAGCCGTGTAGCCATAATGATGAATTAGGCTGCTGTCATGTCATGACAAAGGCGCTGCATCTGCATGCAATGCGGCTGCGAGGGATTGGCCAACTGTGCTAAGTAAGTAAACACTGGCGAAATGCAATTGCGAATGCGAATATTCAAACGTAAGTAGGAAGTGAGGTCTTAAATGAGCTATGCTCTGACAAATCGTTTGCTGTTCGACTTGGCCAACGTTTACTGTTTTCTGTCTGCCGACGGTTGTCCGCTGTCCGCTGTCCGATGTCTGGCGGGGACTGGCGCTCCTTCTGCCTAAGTGAAATTTGGTGTACAATATGCGAGCTTTTTACTTTTTTTTTCCATTTTTTGTTTGTTTTTTTTTTTTTTTTTTTTTTTTTTTTGCCATGGCACGTCATGATTGTGTTTCTGTGCCCGTTTTTCCGGCTGCTGCCGCTGCGGCGATTCTGCATTTCGTGCGCATGCAAATGCAACTGCAACAGCAACTGCAACAACAAACTGAGTATGGCTGCTGCCTAGGCCTCCGTTTAGCGTTTGCTAATTAATTGCGACGGCCGAGTTGTCGCTGGCAATTAGTTTTGGCATAAGCAGATGACATGTTGTGTCATGTGTCATGCGCGTCGCAACAAATGAAGTTATTACCCACGGTTGATTGCCAGGATGTAGCACAGAATTACTGCTGCTGCTGTGGCTGCTGCTGTTGCTGCTGTTGTTGTTGTTGCTGCTGCTGCTGCTGCTTGGCCTCCTAGCTGGGAAGGTTAATTGCCAACAATAAGATTCAATCAAGCTAATGACGGAGCAGCCAAACCAGCTAGCCAGCTAACCAGCTAACCAGCCTCCACTAAGCACCCCACGTTCCACACAATTGCGATTTATGAGCACAGTTATTGGATCTGACTTTCAGCTGGATCGGCTGACGTTCCCGTAGCTGTGGCGACCTTACGGGGTCGCATGCATAAAATGCAACCTCGTTGCGAGACTTTCTTTCAGCCAAGCTGAAATTATTGATAAAAATGCCAGAGTACAACATAATTTCGTAAACGTAAATAGTTTTGTGGCGCGGCTACCAAACTGAACCGTCTCCCAAATGCTGCCACAGCAGCAGCTGCCCACTGAACGAGAGAAAGAGAGAGGGAGAGGGAGAGGGAGAGGGAGAGTAGTCAGGTTGCTTGGATTGGTTTATGGGCAGCGATTAAGGCTTCCAGGCAGAAATTACCTTAACCTTAGGAGACGGCGAATGGACTCGGGATTTGTAAGTGGTATTTTTATTGGATATTTAATTCAGTTGAGCTCTTGCATTGGCGTACGCTTAATCCATGCTCTCCATCAAGAGTGTCAGTATCCTATAGCATTGCTTAATTACCTAAAAAGGAAAGATTGATGTACATACATATATATATATAGGAACGACCTCTACTCACACTCATAAAAGTGATCCGATTGAAGGGCGGAAAGGGGCTGGGCGTCACGGACAGCGGCTGCTGTGCTCGGCTTATCATGAAGAGTAGATCACGACGCAATATTCGCGAGTTGGGCGACCATTCATAGGCGCCGTAGGCGGACTGGGCCACCTGCTTCGAGTGCTCGGTGACCATGTCGCCAAAATAGCAAAAGTAGGCGCAATGACAGAACGTTAGAAGCATAAATATAATGAAACTGCCTGCCACACGGAGGTCCTGTCTAGCGGCTAGAGTCTCGAATGTGGACAGAGTTATCAGTAAAATCTCGGTTAGCATTTGCATTGTGAGCGGCGCATAGAACACTTCGTTGGTGCGATTCACGTTCCTATTGACAAAGTAATCCAGATCAGTTCTGAATGATCTGGATATATATCTAACCAGGCCTATCCACTCACCTTATGGCTCTCTGATGAAGCTTAATCAAGCGGCCGAGCTCGCTGCGAAACTGTTCCTCATCTTCCTGATGCACCCTGGCAAAGGTGTCCAGCTCAATGCACAGAATCTTCAAGTTGATCGCCAGCTGAGCGAACAAGTGCGATGAGAAAACGTCGCAATACATAACACAGGCCATGTTGTAGGCTAGGAAATAGAATTGCCAAATGTATATGATAGCATGTGCAATGGGATGTTTTTCAGGATCGTGCCACTCGAAAGGATAAACTGCATTGAACGGCAGCTTCTGGTCCGTCCACAGAGGCTGCGATGTCGCCAGGACAATGAACACCACATTGGCCACATGCCAGGCCAATGTCAGTGAGGACTCGATCAGAAAGAACCTGCGCTGCTCGTTGCGTATGATTGGCGCCGCCGCACCACTCACGGCCATGCAGTGGCACTCATCCAGATCATTGATAATCTCATCAACGTCGTCTGCCCGAAAGTAGAAGTAGTGCCATTTGAATATCAAGTAGAAGCACTGTGAATGGGAAGCGATCAGAGTTGTATGGGCCACTAAGCAGATCGAAATTATAGCTAACCGAGATCAGCCACAGAATATTCTGACCAAAGTCGACTATATTATCGACCGACTCTGGCAGCGCAAACAGCAAAGTGACAAAGAAGAGGTTCGTCTGCAGCAGGATGATTCTATGCCAGAGGTGGCGAATGGGCGAGCGGCGCTGCTCCTTGTTCGGATAGTTGCATATGACCCTGCAGGTAAAGGATAATGAAATCGGATAATGATTATATAGAGTACAGTTACTACATTAGCTGCAGCCGATTATAATAGAGCGTGGTGTGCTGCGGATGCGTTTTCTCATGCAGCACCATCCAGTAGTCCACGAATTGCGCATAAATGCGCCTCCAGCCCGTCTGGGGTATACTATAGCTGCTCGTCATGGCTCAAACTGTATTGATAAGTTGGCAACTGGGTATTGCTCTTATATAGAGTGGCCTGCAGGAGTCTAGCAATGCGAGCCTGATTGTATTTATAATTGTTAAATGATATCCTATTAGAATTGCATTTATGCATGGCAGTAAAAACATTCTGCATTGCCACGCCCACCTCATCAAAGTTATAATAGAATATTGCAATTGCACATAGAATTAAGGATTGTTATAGCCAGAGACCCTGAACTGTGCGGCATATTGGCAATTAGCTTAACTGTTTCTTATAGATATGCATATGTTATATATACATACACACGCACACATACGTATGTATATATAGGTACTTGTATTGGTGCCTTTCGGCTTACTGTCTGCAGTCAGCTCTGGCAGTTTAGCCGCATTTGCTGCACTTTTTTGTATCGTGCGTTCAGCTAACTTTTTCCTCGGACCATTTAAGGCGCACAAAAATGCATTTTACAGTTGGCAGTTGGCAGTGGAAATCTTTAACGGCTTGTGAAAATTATTGCCTTGGCCAAGTTTGGCACGTAACGATATTCGCATTCGCCTAGAAGCGTGGCCAAATAACTTTTGACTTTTGCTATCTTTTCGACCCGCACTCAATTCAAGGCTCAACAGATGATGCCATCACCCACACACTGGGCTTATTAATCTGGATAGCATTTAGCGTTCAGTTGTCGCTGCATATTTGGCAAATGGCCAAATGGCCGATGCTGACATGTCTCATTCGTTTGTGGCATGTCCGTGGCTCTGTTCTGTTTTGTGTTTTCTGTTTTTTTGTTGTTGTTGTTGCTGCCACAAATGTCGCCGCTTCATTAGGCTGCGCAACATGCTCGACAGACAGCGCCAAGACAGACAACTCTGCCAATTTCCATCAAATTCTGTTGATTTCATACACTTACAGAGGGCATAATGAGTAGATGGAGAATTTGGATTCTTATTGGACATTGAGTATCATAAAAATTGAGGCATACTTAGACAACTATGTATGTATATATTGTCTATCAAGCAATAATCAGCTCTGCTAATCAAACTATATCAGCTCAGTTAGAGTATTAAATGTTCGTTGTATTACGTCTGGAATATTGGTTTTTTGTTTTGTTGCTTTCATATGGCTAGACGAACCGCTGCTGATCGAGATTCGAGCTTTCGCTATGGCTGCGCGACGGCAGTTACCAGGTAGCTGGTAGCAGGTATCTGGTACCTGGTACCTGGCACAGGTAGCACTACAATTTGCGCGCTTGTCAAGTGTACGACAACATTACGCGCAATTGTTCAATGTCAATGCATTTGATGGGCATGAAATGCTACAGCAGACACAGCGAAAGACGCAGTTGCATTCACTGTTGCAGTCGATGAATTGTTGCTGCTGCTGCTGCTGTCCCCATTCATTGTTTTAGGCGGCATCTGCTGGCAGTCGGCCCAACAATTCCCATGTGCTGGCATGTTGTGTGATAACGAAGCTGCTCCTTCAAGTGGGCCTTTGTCGCCGCCAGTCAAAGAGCAACAACTATGTCGAATGGAGCAGGAACTCAATTAAGTACTCCAAAGTGCTCGAAAGCAACCAAAAGTCAGCAGTCGATACGATCATAATTTACTCAACTACTTGTTTACGTTGCTTTATTAAAAATAATTCAAAACATTCAAACTATTCATGTCGATGGAGCCAAAGTGTGCCTTTAAGCCAGCTGCCGCTGCTGCTGCTGCTGCCCCAAACATACGAAAATCAACAGAAAAGCAAACTTTTATTACAACTGATAATAGATCTAAGCTGGCTAAGCATAGAGGCCATCGACCATCGAGCAAACATTCAAGAGCCCCCAAGTGCCCCTCCCTCCCTTTTGGCCAGTCTCTGGCTGCTCTCTCCTCGCTTCTCCTCGAGCGTTGTTCCCGGGGGGCGCAATACAATGTTTAAAAACCGCTCATTTCAAGTGATTTTTCGGTTAATAAATGCATCAAAATGTTGAATCTAAAACATTTTTATGTCGTATAATTAATCACAATTATATATTTCTATGGTCCGAGTAAATGGCCGGGACAATGGCCAACAAAGCGAAACGACTTTGGCTTGAACTTGGACTTGGACTTGGACTTGTGTGCACTTGTGTGTGTGTGCACTTGTGTGTGTGTGTTTGTGGATGCGAATACTCTTGTCCCAGGCGCCACAGGGGGCTGAACGGGCTGGAGGGGGGGATTAGCCAAGCGGCGCACTAAAATTTTATGACTCTATTATGAGAGTGGCGGCCATTCAGTTCCAGCTACGCTTCTCTGCTCCATTGTGAGCGCGCGGCCCAGCTGCTATTGTTCTAGAGAGACGGAGAGCTGGAGCTGAAGCTGGAGCTGGAGCTGAAGCTCAGGCTGCATATGGGTGCTGAGCGACTGGAGCCGCACTTGGCTCGGCCTCTGCATATGCGCAAGTGGATGCCAAAGATTTCAGCATACAGATTATGCAAGCAACACACACACACTCACACACACACGTAGCCCATGGCCGCTGTAATTTATAACTGAGCTAAAATGGCCAGCAAAAAACGCTCAGCGGCAACCAAAAATAATGCACACAAATTTGCGTTGCAGCCCACTGTTAGGCGTATAATTCTCTGCCTCTGCCGCTGCCACTGCCTCTGCCGCTTCCCCCCACATATGCCACCTCTCGGCCGTTGCATGTGTCGCGTTTGGCCACGCCTCTGCCCGCCGCTCTGCTGCTGCGTCGCACAACAATAAACTGCATTCCACGAATATTAATCACAGCAGCGCCACGCTTATGAACTTCAGGCGAGTTGCTGCTACTCCTGCTGCTTCTCCTGCTGCTGCTGCTGCTGCCACCTTCTGCCTTGCTGCTATTTAAGGTTTAAAGCTGCATTAGACAATCTATCAGTGCGCTCAATAAACTCTCATTTGCTTATTTTGGTAATGGTTCGCTATTAAAAATATATCCCAGCATTTGCTATTCATACAGGGTATCTGTAGAGCATCTAGCACTAGCTCGTCGAACACATTGTTGTATGACTGCAATCTGGAATATTTATTAACAATAATGCCAAGTTGTTGTCGTTGCTGTCCTTGTTGTTGTTGTTGTTATTGATTCGAGTTGGAGCTTGGCTTAGCCGCTAAGTAAATGCAGCTCGCGTTCGATCGATTGATAATGCCAACAACCAACAACAGCAACAACAACAAACACTCGCCACAGGCAAACATAACAGGCGGGACATGCAAAAAATTAAAGGCAGTTCCAGTTCCTGAACTGAACTCCAGCACCAGCTCCATCCCAAGCCCCTGCCCCAGCCCCAACTCCAGCCCCAGTCGCAGTCGCAGCACTGCCGGGCCCCGAAAACACAATTAATATTTATGACCTTGCCTAGCTGATATATTTACCTGGGCGCACACGAGTAAATGGCGCGATTTATCATCGGCTTGGCTCTCTTGGTCAACGGCTGGACAGCAGATACAGCCACAAGGATAATAGAACTGTTAACATGAAAATAAAATTCAAATCTCTATCGCAACGAGTCATATGCACACACATACATACATACATATGTGCATGCGCCTGACTGCATGCGTCCAAGTAAAGAAATTCCATTAAAATGCATAGACTTTGCATGCACATTAAATATGCATGTGTGTGCGAGTGTATGCGTGTGTGTGTGTGTGAAATTATGTATTCAAATTTCACTAATTAGCTGCCAAAAAAAAGAAGAAGGAATATATACAACTCGCCCAAAGTTCATGTCATGAGGGCAACCTGCTGCACATATCGGAGCCGCCACAAGTGCTGCACTGCCTCACTGGGTGGCTAATTAAGTCAACTCCCGTAGCAACAAACAAACAAGAGCAGCAACAGCAACAACAACAACAACTTTGGGTGTGTGCATATTTCAGCATGAAAATATTCATAATTAGAGTGCGTGAGTTCTTACCTCAGGGAATTTCCACCTAGTCGCTGCGTGTGTGTGTGTGTGTATTGGTGTAATGGCATAATTAATTTATTAATTAGTTTTCTTCTTCTTACACCTTTTTTTTTCGACTGCCCGCTCACTGAAGCGTGAGACGCGGCCGACGCAGCGGGCGGGCCTGCAAGAGCGCGTAATTGAAGCTGCCCACGCACAGGTTGCTGCCGAGTGGCCAAAAGTCTCCGACATTGAGTCAGGTTCAAGGTGGCTTCGATGCTGGTAGGGAAACGGTAGCGACAACAATTAAATGAGCCTAACCTCCGGCCAAGTCGGCAGTCGGACAGGCCATGGCAATACCCAAAACGAGCTCCATTCAATGGCAATTATCAAGAGCCAAAACAGATTTTTGTATGCAAGTTGCAATTGGCGGCGCTTTTCATTGTCGGCTATGCGCGCAATGCGACGACCTCCATCGTTGTCGTTGTTGTTGTACTTGTTGTTGTTGTTGTTGTTGTTGCTGCTGTTGTTGCTGTTGTTAGCGCAGACAATTGCAAAATTGTCGCCAGCTCTTAGCCAGAATTGAGGAACTGAAACTCAAGCAGCAGCCAGTCTCAGTTTCGGCTTCAGCTACAGCTCCAGGCTCATAGGCATACCTGTCGCGCATACCCCAAATCGTTTAGCAATTGACTGACGATTGTTTCTTCTTCTTGCTATACACTTTTCGAGAGTTTTTTGAAGTGAACATGAAATGTGTGCGTAGAATAAAGGAGAACTGTCTCTCTGTGCAGACGAGCAACAGAAATGAATCTAATGTAAGCAGCATATGATATATAATAGATCAAAGAGCCTTCTAGACTTGCTATGCTAATTGCAGCCAAATCTGACCTACATATAGTAGTAAGTAAGGTACTTGTAAATTTAAAGAGTATTTCAGCTTCGGTGTGACATTTTATTCTGTTGTTTTTGGTTTTTCGAACTTGAGCGCACAAAAGGCCATTCGGCTCGGTAATGTGGCCGTTACCTGCTGACGTTCAGGGCCAAGCTCATTGTCATCAGCATTTGGCAATTCATTGGCCAGAACCAAAATGCGGCAAGACGCGCCCAAAAGCCGCCAACTGCCGTGCACTGGCAATTTACGTACATCGTGAAAGAGTTCGGCAATGCAGAGGCAATTGCTAGACTTCCCACACCTGTAAATTGCTTAAAGAGAGAGAGAGAGAGAGAGAGAGAGAGAGAGAGAGAGAGAGAGGGAGACAGAGAGCAGGGGGAATGAGATTTACAAACGGATATACGGATTTGCTATTTAAATGCTTTCATAAGCATAATTTGAGTGGAGCTTTTCTGTTCGCTTGCGCTAGAATTATTCATGTTCTCTCACATTATATGCTATCTGGGCATTGCTGATCAAATGCCTCGCATATAATGCCCTCTAAGCAGTGGCTCGAGAGTATGTGCTTTGGGTTCCTAAGCATTCGGCGCGATAATCTCTCGCAGGTGCTCCGGGCCGATTGCGACGACGACGACGACGACGACGACGACGACGATGACGGCGTCTCATTCAGTATGTTTCCCTCTCTTTTTTGCAGATCATGGCATTTGTGGAATTGAGACAATTATTTGCACATCGTGTATGCGGAGACAAGTTGCAGTCGCAGTGGCAGTCGCAGAACTCGCTGAACTCCGCGCCTTTCGCATGCGTGCGATGCTGCCACAAAAATTTGCGAAATTCATTAAATAAAAGTCGTGAAGAGCGGAACAGGGATAAAACTGGCTGCCAGACCGATTGCCCATTGCCCATTGCCAATGCCGATTGCCTGTGCAGGCTGCAAATATTTGACAAAACGCCACTTGCGAGACGCCGCCGTCGGCGACGTCGTCAACCATTTTGGCCACAAAATGCGGTAGGTAGTAGCTGCTTTTTTTTCGTTTCGATTTTTTGTTGTTGTATTTCTGTTTGATTCAAGTTCGACTGCAGGAGGTTAGCATAACGCAGAGGCAGCTCAGCAGCAGCACATAAACTACACTCGACAATCTTTCGGAGTTTGTGCTCCGCTTAGCTAAGATTTTCTACGTCCGCAGCCACGCCCTTTTCGTGTTGGGCTCTAGCCAACTGCTAATTGAATTTTCGTAGTTTCGACTTGGCTCAGTTTCTGTGTTATTTTTATTGTAGTAGTTCATTTCACAGTTGGCCTTGAGACGGAAGTTGGCCGTCGCCGTCGTCGTCGTCGCCGCCGTCGCAGCCGGCGTATTAGCCACGTTTGCATGTTTATGCAAATAGCCGCCCGTCTGCGCCCCGAGGTGGAGCACGAGGCGAGAGTCGCGAGGCGCGAAAGTAGCGCCCAACTAGCGCCCAGCAATTAGTCGAAAAGGTGAGCGGGTCTCGCACTGACTTATTAAGGCACTGCCGCTGGGCAGCGACAGCTGCAAGTCGCCTGCTGCCAAAACGCACATGTTGCATATAGAATATAGAATTTCCGATGTGGCCAAATCTAAAATGCAAACGGCTGTCCGACGCGGGGGTCACACCGAAAACTGTTAACGCTTGCGCAAAAATAAGTATAAAATTACAAATGGCTAAAATATTGGTGGACATGTCCCATGTCCCATGTCCCGGCTACAGCCACGGCCACAGGCCTGGGCCTGGGTGCAGGTCCATGTCCAGGGACAACTGCCAACTGCCTCATTTATTTGCGCTGCATTTCCTGGCAGTGGCAACTTGTTAGTGCAACTGCCACAGCCGCTGCCGCTGCTGTTGCTGCTGCTGCTGCTGCTGCTGCTGTTGTTGGCTTTGCAAAATTCATGCGCATGTTTGTGCCTCATTTTTGGACATTTTCCATGGCAGCAGCAACAGCAACAACTGCAACGCATCGGAATTGGCATCAAATGTGCAAGGGCAAAAGTTTCGTTGCATTTATGCGAACGACAGCCACAGTCCATAACAGCAGCGGATCCCCGCACCCAAACACACAGACCCACGTCCAATGCATAGATACGCGCTAAGCGTTTCGTTCATGCTGTGACTGCTGAGCTCATAGATACCCTATAATAATATGTAAAACTGAACCCTGTGAAATATATAATATAAATGATTTACAATTTAGACCTAGAATTCAGATGTTATAGTAATATGCTTCGATATACCCTCACTACAACTAGCACAACTCAACTATTGATACCCCTCAATAATATCCAATACAATATACTCTTTCCACACTTTACTCTGCTCAAATATCCAACACTTCCATTTGATCGCCTTCAACACTTAGTTCTGTCTACCCACGCCAATGTTTACTCTGCTCACAGGGTATCGCAATTTATATATGTAGCACATATAAAGAGCATATCTCCATATAGTATAAACGCATTTTTGTGTATTTGCTGTCTGTTTATTTTGCTGCTTTGTCGTGGGTTTGTTTGCGTTTACCTCGCACATCGTTTTTAAAAATCGAAATTGAAATATGAGAACCCGGCTGATATTTATATGGAGCAGGAGAGATGTGGTTGGCAGCCTATCTACAGTACATGTTGTTGGCTTTTGTCGTTTGTCGCCTTGTTTATTCGTTTTTTTTTTCTTTTGGGTTTTTGGTTTTTGTTCTCTGTTTCTGTTTTTATCTAAAACACCGGCTGAATGGCAAACAAATGTGAAACCTGCTGAAATTACCAATGCAAAGTGGAAATAAATTATACAGTGGCAAGTGGGATGCACTCGGAACCGAATGCATCCTTAATATTTAATCACCATTGCAATTGAATTTTCACATTAACCTTTTAAAACTCTTTATAATGTCTGCGCAACCTGTGAGCCGATGTTAGTGTTAGCTCTGATTGATAAGAGACCAGCAGTTGACTCAGCTGGCCTCAGTGGCTAGAGTGCAGGGCGTACTCGAAGAAGATGAGCTCTCTGTGGAGCTGGTCGTTGACGAAGACGAAGAACTCTCGGTAGAGCTAGCCGTTGACGAAGACGAGGAGCTCTCGGTAGAGCTTGAAGTTGAGGAAGACGAAGAACTCTCGGTAGAGCTCTCCGTTGAAGAAGACGAAGAACTCTCGGTAGAGCTCTCCGTTGAAGAAGACGAAGAACTCTCGGTAGAGCTCTCTGTTGAAGAAGACGAAGAACTCTCGGTAGAGCTTGCCGTTGATGAAGTAGATGTGCTCTCTGTGGTGCTGTCAGGAGCTAAAGAAGAAGAAGAAGGTGCTGTAGTGGATTCTGCAAATAAAAATTTGATTTAAAACTAGGTTAATTATAGTCCAAGAAAGGATTACCTGTGGTAATGGGTGGTGTTGTAGGTTCGGGTAAGGGTGGCCTTGGCTTTGATGGTCTCCACAGTGAACCAAAGATATTGAATATAATTGGTTTGTACATGGAAATATTTTGGTTTATGTTGAAAACATTATCTGGACCGCTGGAGCCATCTCCGACTGCCTTTAGATGCTTATCGAGCATACACTTTTGCTCTGGTCCACTGAATCGATATCCGTCATCGCAATGGTTCCAAATTTTGCCCAGGAGTCCAAGACATTGGAAATATGATTTTCGGTCTTTCGGATCGGCAACCTTGTAGCCGAAAGACTTTTTGAAGCATATATCCGGGGTGTACGCCTGCGAAATGCTCAACAAAGCAATCCATATTACAACTGCTGCAAGTATAGAATCCCATAATTGAACATTCTATGATCAAGTCTTATATTTCCCGGACTTACCAAGTCGCATTTTGCTAGTGAGCTGCCGAAATGATATTGTGAATAACTCAAGAGTTGTTTATATACGTCCAGAAAAACTGTGAAACAATTAGCTGAGAGCTTCACTTGAAGTGGTACAGATAGGACAGAAATGTTATCTTAACTTAATTAGCAGCAGCCAGACGAAAAGATTGTGGCTGAACAATTTGACAAGCTGTAACAGCTGTTGTTTTAGTTTTCGACGGAAACAAGATTTCAATCAAATGAAAACTTATGAGTTTTCCTTTTAAGTACACCATAAATGGACCATAAACGAGCTCAGAAATCATTTTGTATTCTCATGCTGATTTTTTTTTGTCCGGCTCGCAGTAAAATGAATTTAAATATCTCGCTGTGAGCATAAAAAGCAAACATATTTATATTTTTATAAATGCATCATTACAACGAAATTTTGATGTAGAGTCGAACAATGTCACAAAATAAAATACAAACTGGGGCCCCAGGTGGAGGGCGTGGGCTGTGTGTGTGTAGCCCATATAGATTACTGATTTATGATGCTGGACTATTCATTAATAGGCCGAGTTTAAAAATGGGAAAAACATTGATTTTATTTGATTTTAATAGCGCCGCCCTGGGAATTACGCTATCAAGCTATCTGCAGTGGTCATCGACCATAAATCGGCTGTAAACTGGTCAACCAGATAAAGCTGGGGACAAAAGAACCGCTAACGCCATCAACGTGCAACGAGCAACGAGCAACGGGACGAGGCAGTGCATCATCAGCTGCAGCTGGCAGTCGGAGTCTCGGCTAGGCCATAAATTTGTACAATTAAAAATTATGGTGAGTTTTTACAGTTCATATCGTTGGGGCAGTTGGTGGAAATTTATGTGGCAAGCGCCTGCGCTTTGCCAACATTGGCTCAAATAAATCAGAAACTCCAAATCAAAGTTGAAATCATTTTCGTTCGCCCTTCAAGCTGGCCGTAAAGTTTGTGGCACTGCGGCCGGGTCGCACCTTCGGCTCAAGCTGCAGCTGGGGGCATGCAGTGAATCGTTAAAATGTAAGTGTTAGACAGGTGGAGCGTTGCACTCAAGCAGACCCCCTGCTGCCAGGTGGGGCCCCGCCACACATATGTATTTATATACATATATGTTTATTTATATTTATATTTATGCAATAAATCAAAACACTCTTTACGCAGCGCGACTGATTTTTAATGCTGAGTCGAGCTTCAAATTTTAATTAGAAAATTATTGGCCACACCCCAACTCATCCCATTCCTAACCCCATCGCTATATCCCATATCTCATATCCCATTGCCCATCGCAGCGACAAGTTCGTAATAAAATAATTAGACCGCACGCAGTGCAGCCAACGCAGGAATTGGAAACGGGCGATCGGGGCTGAGAAGGCAGCTTCGATAAGCCCATTAAATCGTGACATTCCTCATGGCTCAATCGTAAATCATATCGTACGCCCAAGCAGTTCACTTCACTCCCGTCCAGGCCAGTCCCGCCCCATTCCGTTCCGTTCCGACTGCCCATAGATCAATGTGACTCGATAGTTCGATTGTTCGATTGAGTGCGTGTTCGATTTTTAACGACCCAAACGACGTGCAACGCATTTGAATGCAACCTCGACGACGCAACGTTGGCGGAGTCCATGTGGCAGCAGTTCGGATTGCACTTGAAATGCATATTTATGAGCTGCAACTCAGCATATCAGTTGCATGAAAGGGCTCGACACATATCGAATGAGAATATTTAAGTTATGTAAGCGAAATGTCAAGATGTTCTAGGTAAGTGAAATTCCCTTAATATTGCCAGAATTTTCTGTAATCTAGGTTAATGTGAAATCTTCTTAAGGATCTCGACTGCAATTAGAAATGAGTTTCCATATCATTTATCTCACTGTCAACTCCTGGCTGTGTGGTCTCCTGTGGTCGAGTTGATTAGCTCAGATCCTAACGATCGTGCAACTGTCCGTGGGTAAGCGTAGGGCAACGCTCACGCACATACCCAAATCTTGCATGCCCAATTTGGAATGTCACAGCGCTGACATGGCTGGCCGATGCCTAATGCCATCCACTTGACAGCTAACAACCTCACAATAAATCGATTGAATATAGCGCGAGCTGCACCCGCGATCCCCTTGCACAATACAAGTGTGGAGGATTAATTCTTTTTATTTATTTTTTTGGGTAGAATAAATAAACACGATGCGCATTAAGATCAAATTACATGATAAGCGAACAAATGCCGATAGAGTCGATAGGCCACCGACGCGTCGGGGCGGGGTCCAAGTGCCATGCAGTGGCAATGTTGTCAACGTGCAGCAAGGGGGCAGCTGGAGAGAGGGGCTGGATGTATGTGTGGATGTATATCAACACTTGGCGATCGTCTGGGGCTGGGCCGTACAAATTGTGTGCGTAGGCACAGATCAACACCCGAAAATGGGACGTGCAGTGAAAAATGATTATTAATAATGTCGAGGCGAGATTGGGCATTCGGAATGGCATTCAAGTGAGATCAAGAGGCCAAATATGAGCCAGAGCCAATGAAAAATAACGAGCCAGAGCTAAAATATAACTAAACATAAAATCGAAATTGCAAACCGTTAAAGAAATAATAGAAAGAAAACTAGAAAAGAGGCAACATAAACTGGGCGCACTGCTGCTGCAGGACGAGTGCCCGTTGTGTCGACACCAGCAACATATGGCCATGGATATGTGAAAATGTTGGCGATTGAAATCAAACGCCCACTGGAACTCGAACTCGAACTCGAGCTGGAGCTGAAGCTGCTGCCTGGACTGGGGCTGGGGCAGTGGTCATGGCCATAGAAGCGCTTTGACTGCTGCAATTTGCATAAAGCAGGCAGCGTGGTTGCAAAACTGCGCCAACTGACAATTGACAACAACAGCAGCAGCAGCAGCAGGAGCAACAGCAGCGGCAGCACCGTCAGCAACTGTTGCCTGCACATGCGCAACGAAATTGTCAATTCGGCAACATGTTGGCATGGTGCATGGTCAAGTGCTGAAACAGGTTGCCACGCGGTGGCAGCCACTTCCTTGTGCTTGGTGTTTGTTGCTGCTGCTGCTGTTAGATTTTCAAGTGCAGATTGCTGTCGTGGCTGACTTTTTGTGCGACGTTGAAATTTGTAGCAGTCAGCAGTCACACACACACACACACAAAACTGTCGCAGAGACATTCAGGGCCTGGACTTGGGTCCAGCTCTGGGTAATTGTTGCCAACGCCAACGAGCAATGTCGCGGCAACATGTTGCTGCCGCCGCCGCCTCAGCTGCTGCTGCTGTTTGTTTTGTCGATTGTTTGATAGGCAGAGACTGATGATGACCATCAGAATGATGCATTTGTACACCCATGAGTTTTGACGTGAAATCTGCACTCGTCTCCCGTCCGTCCGTCCGTCTGTCCTCCGCTTGGCATAAATTTCGCATGTTGCTGCTGTGGGAAACCGAACAAGGGGCAGCAACGGGCCTAGAGTCTAGCGCCAAGATTAATGCGCAAGTCAATTCAACTCGCTGGAGCTTCTGGCCCGTTGCCGTTGCCGTTGCCAGCAATTGTACGCCGGAAGCGACGATCTTGTTAATTTGATAGTCCTTGGCCATGTAGCCAGCGCCAGCTGCAATATATCATCATTAGAAATTTGTGAGCTTTCGACGCATTCGAACACGTACTTCATAATTGCAATCTTGTTGCCCCCTTTTGCCTCCTTAGTCGAGCAGACATGTGTGTTTTTGTGTGTGTGTGTGTGTGTCTTTGTGAAACGCCCACTCGTAACTCTAGTGCCCCACATTCACGACAGCAGCAACCACCTGAGCCACTGAATGCAGTTACAGTTAGTTCATGTCCACACGACCATGTTGATGACGCCTCCTCCTTCTACTGGCTGTGGCTCTATCTCTGACTCTGACTCCGGCTATGGCTCTAGCTTTGGCCCGGTCTAGTCGTGGTCTGGCAATTAACACTAAAGCAGCAACAAATCAATTTGGCGCGCTGTTGCTTGCTTGTATTGCTCTGGCTGTTGCTGTTGCTGTTTCCGCAACATGTTGCAGGAAGATGCGTACCAAATCGATTTGAATGCGGTGCCAATGTGAATGTTGACGTCGTTGCTCTGGCCAGGCCACAGCACAGCACAGCCCAGGACAGGACAGGCAGGCCAGGCGTGCCCCCATGTGATGATGCATTACCCCACACACCGAATGCCAAAAACTTTCAACAGGGACTGTTGCTGCTGCTGTTGTTGCTGCCGCGGCTGCTGCTGTTGCAGTTGCAATAATTGCTCCACTTGAAGCAGCAACAAATCGCCAGAGCTGGCGTTTGAGCTGCCTCAGACTCTCAACGCCGGCCCAGACCTGAGCCTTGGAATGTACCCTCTCAGGCAAACGCCTCGCGCATACGAAATGAGACAGCCACAAAAACGAAGGCAGAGGCGGTGCTGCAGTCGGAGTTGGAGTTGGAGTTGTAGCTGTAGCAGAAGACGGAGACGGAGACAGACGACTTGAATGAAGAGGTTTTCCGTTGCCATTTGGCTAGCGATTTTTTTCGCTCTGTGTATAGCCTTTTTTTTTTTTTTTTTTTTTTGGTTTTGTATGTGTTTTTTTTTGCGTTCATTTCCATGCTCAATTTTCCAATGTTTCCTGTGCCCAGCTAACAGCAGCAACAGCAACGGCAACATCGACGACAGCAGCAACAGCCACAAAGCAGACGCCGGAATGCGTTGAGTTGTGCAGGCTCGCTGCAAACAATTGTGATTATCGAACATGGCTGTAGATACACTAGCCCAAAGGTTGATCAGCTATGTGAGCGAGTATGGCTGATCTGCTGGCTGCCTTTGAGTACAGTATATTGACTGTCCAGCTCTAGTTGGAGTAAGTGTATTCCGGACTTGGCTATTTGTGTTTGGCTTTTGTTTTACTTGTTTCTTCGGAGAGATTCGCCAGGTACGCCGGTGGCAGTTGAGGCAGTTCAAGCAGTCGATGCTTGGATAGCAATCGTATTTGTGTTGCTCTGAACCTGGGCTGGTCGTTTTCGTTTTTTCTGTGTGCTGCTATTG